CAGCAACCTGGGCTGTGCCACGATCAGCCAGGATCTGAAGGGCAAGATTGCGCTTATCCAGCGCGGCACTTGCACGTTCAACGAGAAGGTGTCCATGCCCAGGCTGCGGGTGCTACTGGTGTGGTCATCTATAACAATGTTGCTGGTGCCATTTCCCCGTCGGTTACCGATACAACAGTGACAATTCCTGTTGTTGGTATCTCGCTGTCAGATGGCCAGTACATCGTCTCCGCGCTCACTGCAGGGGGTGTCTCAGTCAGGGCTCAGAAGGGTGATATTGTAACCGTCCCCAGCGAGACCGGTGGCCAAATGTCCAGCTTCAATGGGCCGTCAGCGGAGCTCGACATTGCCCCACGCATCTCCGCACCAGGTGGCAACATTTACTCGACGGCGCTAACATGGATCAAAGTCAGGAACGTCGATGGCCACGCCGTACACGTCTGGAACCGTCGCGCTGCTGAAGCAGGCGTTCCCAAATACAGTGTCGCCGAAATTCACCGCGTCTGATCAACTCGGCCAAACCACGTGCTGACGCCAAGACAGGCAAGAATATTCACCCGTTCTGGAGCGGCGGTGGTCTGGTCAATATCTACGATGCCATCACAACCCGTGCACAAGTGTCTGCCGGTGATTGCCCTGAATGACACCAAACTCGGATATCTAGACGGAGGGATTTAGCTCCTCGCAGAGTGTCCGCTGGCCGTCCGCACCATCGACCTTAAGAATCTGGACAAGAAGAAGTCGGCACGCGTCTCGTTCTCAAACTCGGTGGCCGACTCCCTCTCCAACTGGAACGCAGATGGTTCTTTTGCTGTCAACGCGTGTCTGGCCTGCTGATGCTTCTGGATCCCAAGGGCCCACGACGCTTCCGCAGGTATATGTGCCTGACCTCCAATACTACGACATCCTTGAACCTGGAGAGAAGCGCAGTGTGGACGTGTTTCATCATCGCTCCATACGGTCTTAAAGAGTCTGACCGCTGGTTCTACGGTGGGTTCCTGAACTTCACCATGACTTGGTCCGGCGAAAAGAATACTGCAAGAGCTTCACTGTCCCGTACACCGGATTCAACGGAAACTACCGCCAGCTGGATGTCTTGTCCCAGCCTTCGGAGGGTTTGCCGATCCTGACTGATACCAAGGGAATCCCCATTGAAGGCACCAAGTTCAGCGTCACTGACACTACCCCTGCTGTAGTGAACTTCCGTCTGGAGGTCCCTCGCGCATTGTGAAGGTCACTTTGGTGGACATGAAGAACACTTCCTTGGGCTATGTCACTGGTGGCTACCTCGAGTATGTCCCGCGTAATCTTCAGGCTGCCGAAACGTATCTCTACACTGCGCTTGTCACGAAGCGGTGTTCCAGGACGAGCTTGGCACGAAGCCTGCTAATGTGACTTGGCCAATATAAGTGCGGCTTGATGCTCTGCGCCCGCTAGGCAACCCTACGAGCCAGAAGGACTTCCAGACATGGATATCGCCTGCTTCACAGTCTCATAGACGCGTGTTAGACCCGATATCTAGCAATCGATCTGTTCAATATTCCACCCACACAAGAATGATAAGTCACTACAGATACTTTGCGTACCATTCTGAGTTGTTTGTGCTTAAATCCAATGCTCTCCTATCATTATCCGCCAAAGCAACCGTAGACGAACAGTATTCCTGCATAACCTACGTTTACAATTTTCATATTGCCCTTCGAAATGTGGAAATGAGAAACGGAAAGCATAGGCACATCCGCCTACACCCAGTCTCATGCAAATATGCTACCATGACAAAAGAGATCTCTCCGGCTGAGCAGAGCGCGTGGGCAGGAGAAAGTGGTATCGAGCAACATGGGGGGGGTCTTTTTGTGCCAGCAAAAACCCGCGCAATATCGGTGTTCTCGCCAAAAACGATCTGTTAGTGGATGAAAACAGGAATGAGACCCGGATACATGGACTGGGATGTCAATCACAACATCAAAGTGGTTCCCACACAAATGGACGCCCTGATGCGCAAGGTGCCAATCCCATTTGCACGAGAGCTTGGTTGCTATGTCGCCTGGACTTGGGGCTAAAGAGAGGATTGGCAAACACCCAATATATTTCCATTCCGTTCTTTCTTATGGATCTTGCAAATAGCAAAGCCAACCTTCTATTTCCTAGGCTCCGAGCCAGCTTCTAAATAAACAAAGACATGCAAATGGCGATATTAATCTGAGCTCTAATACGCAGATTCCATAATAAATAGTCGCCTCCAGAAAGTTTGGATGGGGATCACCGACCAGTATCTTTACCTATATATAAGATTTTATAGTCGAAAAAGTGTCCGACCGTCCGCTAGAACATTTTTGTTAGTTAAAAATAAAACTTTTGAGCTTCAACACGAGTTTGGGTGGCTTTGCTCCGTAAACTCCTTTTGATCTTGTGCGGTATCTGACCTCGTTGGTGAAACTAGGACGACAAGCTGGTATTGTAGTGGTCATAGGTCTCCACTAGATATCTCCATTGGTTCAGCGCAAGAGCTGCTCTCATTGTCGGTCGGCCTGATAAACTTCCATGGCGTCATCATGGTGGTCATCACCGGCTGCGCAACACTCTTAGGATGTTTATCTATGAGCATCTATTGAATAAGGCTATATAGCTCTTCTAGCGGCCATGAAATATTTGTAGGTTTATTTTATAAATTAATTTGTCTTATGAACATGCGTAAGCGGTAGTATTTGAGCCACAATGGACCCAGTCTGTATAGACTGATTCAAGAGACTGTATCAGTGCTAAGGGCCCCAAGAACCATGCAAGCCAGATCATTTTTAATAAAAAGTTCTTAATGCTATGCATACACAATAAAAGCAAAACTGAACAGCATCATTTCTCTTCTTACTTGCCTATTGAATTTCTCAAATGAATATTACCCGCAGCACTACTGTCATAAAGACATCACTTGGTGGTATTGGCTTCCGTGATTCTATGTTGCCCCGCTAGAGCAATTTGTACACAGCGTCAATATCATCAAAGAGCATACATACATGCTTGCACGATGGATATTACTCCATCAACTAGCTGACAATGATGCTTTTAACCCTGCAATATTTGTGAAAAAGGGATTCTTTCGTTCAAATTTATTTATTTATATATCACAACCTGAAGGCAAAGACAGCCATACCTGCCAAGGATTTCGTTAGCCGGAAGGACAAGTCAGAACTGTCGAGCGCAAATTTCGGTGATATAATTAGATACCATATTTATGACTATCTATTACATAATGGTGATATCGAGTTACATGGCGCGCGAAATGAATCAGGTAGCAACATATGTTGATACCGAGCTGCTAACAGCATACAATAACAACATTGTGTTGTACTATGGCACTTGCTGCTGCATCGGCAGCAGCAGCAGACACTGTTGCAGCACTTAACAATGCATATACACCAGCACCCCCAGTCTGTGCACACGACCCGGTCCAAGGGATCACACAATCTGCGTTGGATGTGTGGGATGTGTGGGGCCGGGTCGCAGATCTAGCATCAAGGACATTTAAGGCGCTTGGTGATGGAGAATTCCACGGAATGGCAACAACAGATGATATAACGATATGCATTTTGTTGCAAGACAAGATATTCAAGGCTGATGGTGCAGTAGATGCTGATGGCGCAGGAGGCGATGCTGCGGGAGGCAATTCTGTGGGAGGCGATGCTGCGGGAGGCAATGCTGTGGGAGGCAATGCTACAGGCGATGTTGCAGGAGGTGGTGCTGCGGGAGGCAATACTATAGCTGACTCTCGCTATATCCACCAGCTCCCAAAGCCGGAGCTGCAAAATCTGAAAAGGCCGCTGTGTATTCATCGATCCAGGTCGGGGCGATTTGCTATACATGATGCACGAAAATAGCAGCAATGGGAAAGAGGGTGAAAAATGCTCTACCGCTACACACGGCAGCAGCACAATAAGGAGCTCAAGCTGCGCCACTATGACAGGATTCGTCAGGCTACAAAGGATCAAGTCCCAGAAGATGCTGTCCGCAGAGCAGAGGCAGAGCTTTCCAACCACTGCTGCCGGACCCTTAGCCCAGCAAAATTCCGTGCCTACGTTGCTGCCCGTGCATCTGTGCGGTGTGTCCTGGCACCGTTTTATGCCAGCACGATGACAGCGTGAAGGTTACCAGAGCAGCAGCTCACTAAGTCAAACAAGCAGCACCAGAGGCACTGGAAGGCCCATCCAGGTGTCAGTACCAGTCCCAAGGTGTGCCCGCTTCACCGCAAGCTGCGCCTTGATTCATTCATGAACCAGGCCCGTGCAGACCACAGGCTTGCCGCGAAACTCCGGAGCAAGTTCGGTCCAGATCCAGTGCTGATCATGGGCAATTGGAGTGCGCCAATGGCCCGACACCATGCGCCGATTCGTGGCAAGGGATGGCGCGACAAGTTCAAGCACCATAGTTTTGAAGTCTATCTGATCGACGAATTCCGGACATCGTCGATGTGCCCGTTCTGCTGCAAAAAGTTGCTGCAGACATTCCGGCATGTTCCCAACCCGCGGCCCCACCAGAGATCGAAGAACCCAACTGTGAAGTGCCATGGCCTTCTCCGCTGTACAAGCGAGTCATGTAAGCGGGCCATGGCACAATACAGGCGAGCCTATTCGTCTCGGCTCTTGAACCGCGATCTCGCAGCAGTTCTAAACTTCAGGCTCATTTTCCAGTCACTCTGTGATTCAGGCAGTATTCCTGAACGGTTCTGTCGTTCTACGGCCATTGTTGCCGATGCTTCTGGCACCACCCCTGCAACAAAGAGGCCGCGCAAGAGGTGTGCAGCAGCAGGCGATTCTGCTGCCAGCAGTAGCGAACCAGCGCTGAAGCGCCTACGCTGAGCAGGCCACCAAGGTGGGAGATGTCCATGACTGCCATTGCACCAACAACCATCCGACACGTTCAAATGATCGGTTTGCCGTGATGCCCTTATCGACGTGTCAACCCATGCTGACTAGCAGCCGAGCTCGCATCGCGAGCAGAGCAATTCCAGTAAAACTAAAGGAAGCATTGCCTACATGTCACCGTGCCTCAGCAGCCCATAGAACAAACAACAGCAATAGAGCGTGTCCAAAAGTCGCACTCTCCCACACACTGCCCTCATGCATAGTGTGGCCAGCTGCAATGTTGTTTATGCCTTGCTTCCGCTCTTACGCTTTGGTAGGAAGGTATACCTCTCGGGGGTAGATCACGCCAACAATACAGCAAGCTCGACTCCGCTGGCCACCTTGGGAAACAAATGTCGTGCTGGTTGTTCTCTACGCCCTTGACAATGATCCTGGGAAGGAGCCCCCCCCCAGAAAATGACCATCACGATGCATTTTGTATGGGTGGTGGGCAGGAAAGACGTGGTTGCATACTTCAACACCTTTGTCGGGTAGCCACCCACGTAGAGCCGCGTCAGCCCGAGGCTGCCCTGGACGGGCAATGCCAGGGGCTTTTCTTGATGTAGACATCGCTGGCAATGCATATACGAGGTTGTCAATAAGAGGCAGCAT